AGCAAAATGTTACTATGACTAATTATTACTCATGTTGGCTTAAAGAACTCCCAAAGATTTTGCAACAAAGACTATTTTTTTTGTATGAAAACCCACCAGATCTGTATCATCAGTTTTCATTGGAGGAATTTCTAGTTCTTGAAACTGGTAGTGAATCATTGGTAGATATCAAATTGAATTTGATTAGCACCAATCTATACAAAAATCTCGACAAAAATACTTGTATCTTGAAATGTATAGAATATTTTATTTTATTTTGGGGTCTCTCATAGGGCTCGGAATTGTATTCGAATAGTCGACTATTCGACTATTCTAAATTTGACTTTTTTGTTCGTTCGCAAATTCGACTATTCGAATATTCGACTATTTGAATATTCGACTATTCAACTATTCGAATATTCGAATATGCGACTATTCGAATATTGGACTATTTAACAATGCAATTACTCACTTTTTGATTTGAACAATTTGAAATTTCAATTGTTTCAATATTTGAATTTGAATGATACAATATACGACGTGTTTTCGGTGAAAATCAGCTTTCAATTAATACAATGCATTTTTGTTCGTAATGTAGATTTAACCCTCTGTAAATTTGCCATTTAGAAAACATCTAAATTATTTTAGTTTTTCTGACTAAGACTCTGCATAAAAAATCAAAAATTCGCTTCGTCGTAGAACGTTCTTTTGCGGGAAGTAGAAACTTTTATCAAGAATTATTGTTAGTCGAAAAACATCATTTTTAAAGTCCCATTTTGTTCTCTTAATTAGGTCCTCTATCAATATTTGACTATTGGAATATTAGACTATTCGAATATTCGACTTTTTGACTACATATTCAAATATTCGACTATTCGAATATTCGACTTTTCGAATATTCAACTATTTCAATTTCAATTTCAATTTATTAAATAATCATGTATACAAATTTATAAATTTTTACATTTGTCATCAAAATCAAAATCAAAATTTTATTCACGCATATAGCATTTACAATAGTTAATTAATTATTTCTACAAAAAGTCAAAAAGGACAAAATATAATGTATCAAGGAATCAGTGTCTGAAACAATCCAAAAAACAAGACACAAGACACAAGATGGCGGGATAAAAACAAGACTAATTATCAATTATATAAGACATTCTTAAGTTTAGTCGAAAATCTTCCATAAGATCGGTCAAACATATCTATGTCACATTTAGTTAAAATATCATTTGACAGCTTTGACATTCTACACAATGGAGAATTAATACTATAATTAGTTCTATGAAAATCAACATTAAACAGAATCCTATTTCTAACATTTATTGGGGAAACATGAATGCCAATAGCCGCTAGGAGGTCAGGTGCATCTATCATACTATTTATGATTTTATAGAAGGTGGAGATGTCAAAAAAATTTCTTCTATTTTCCAGTGATGTCAAATTCAAAAGTTTCATAATGTCAGCATAGTTAATTTCCTCAGATGGAATATGAAGTTTGTAAGCTATTCTACTCAAAAATTTATGCTGAATTCTTTCCAACCTTTTTCTATGTACACCATAGAATGGTTGCCACACACAACTGGCATATTCCAGGATTGAGCGGACAAGGGCACAGTAGAGTAACTTGAATGTGAAAATATTCTCAAATCCTCGCAGTGTTCGAAAGATAAACCCCAGCAAACGCATTGCTCTGTTGGTAATTACATCAATGTGATGAGCAAAAGTAAGTTCGGAGTCAAACCAAACACCAAGATCTTTTACTAGGGACTGTCTCTCAAGCTGTTCAGAATTAAGCAAATAATTGTAATTGTGAGGATTTTTTGATCTACTAAATGAAACAACTTTACATTTCTTAACATTCAATGAAAGATTATTATCAGTGCACCATACAGAAAAACGATCCAAGTCCTCCTGCAGCAACCGGCAATCATATATTGTTTGTACAACTCTGAATGGCTTTAAATCATCAGCGAAAGCAAGAAATCTACCATGCTGGAAAGAGTCTTTAACATCATTAATAAAGCAGTTGAATAAAAAAGTTGAGAGGTGTCCACCTTGGGGAACACCCGAGGTAACTCTTGTTTCAGATGAAATATAGTTTTTTATTTTAACCGCCTGCGTTCTACCTCTCAACATATTTTCAAACCAACCAAGCAGCTCTCCATGTATTCCAATAGCTTCCAGCTTTCTTAACAAGATGCCGTGATCAACCCTGTCAAAAGCCTTGGAGAAATCTGTGTAGATGACATCAACTTGACACTTATTCTCCAAGGCTTCCAACAGAGTCTGCTCATAACATAGCAGATTGGAAATTGTCGATCTCGACCTCACAAAACCATGCTGCTCGCTGACAATTATGTGCCTAAAATGAGGTGTTATTTTATCTGCAATTATCGATTCAAAAATCTTAGATATCAGAGATATTTTTGAAATAGCACGATAATTTTTTATATCAGAGCGATCCCCATCCTTAAAAACAGGCGTCACATAACATTTCTTCCAACACATGGGGAACATTCCACTACTTAAGGATAAGTTAAAAATTTTACAAAGAATTTCTGCTAAAACATATTTACAATTTTGTAATAGAATGACAGGTATACCATCTGGACCCGGTCCTAATGTTTGTTTCAAACCACTAATTTTATTAAAAACGTCAATAACAGACAGTTGTAAAGAACTAAGACTAACAGATTTATCATAGACAAACGACACATCTGTATCCCTGTATTCCGAGTATACTGAAGAGAAATGCCTGTTAAACATGTTAGAGATCATCTCTGGATTATTACTGGATTCATCATCAAGGTTCATAGACTGAGGGTATTCGGAATTACCCTTTTTAGAGTTCACAAATTTCCAAAAAGACTTTTTGTCTGTTAACTGAGCTTCCATAGATTTTATATAACTTTGATGACTAGAGGACGACATATCTCTACACTGTTGCCTTAAATATGAAAAAACAGCATAATCTTGAAGAGATTGTGAAGCTTTGAATATCTTGTGCGCTTTCTTTTTCTGCAAGATTAGATTCTTCAACTCATCATTCATCCATCTAGGAAATTTGGGTGACAAAAATCTACACATGGGAACAAATGAGTTAACCGCATAATATAGTATGTCATAAAATTCCGAAACAACCCACTCCAAATCAGTACACTCAGAAACGAAGGACCAATCAACAGTAGACAGAAAACAATTTAAATCATGATAATTCGCACACTTAAAATTATGATAAAAATAATCACATGACATATTCATAGGTTGACCGTTACCCAAATTAAAACTGCATTCGAAGGCTGGGTGAGGAGCATCCAGCCTCAGCAATGGCTTATCACAGATAGAAACATTAATATTCATATGGTTGGAAAACAGTAAATCCAGAAAATTGCCATATTTATTTGGAATCTGAATATTTTGATACAATCCCAGGTATGCAACACAGTCCGAGATTGCTGAAGATTCCATGGAGAGATTTCCAGCTGGTAATGTTCCATTTTCATCATTCACCCAAGATATTTTTGGAAGGTTGAAATCACCCCAAAGAAAAATGTCTGTGAAGGCAGCACCGTCCACCAAATACATAAGTGACCGACCAAAAGCCTCGTAGACATCCACACCTGATACACCAGGGATATAAGCATTCCCAACCAATATTTTCTTTTTGTCGATGCAAATCGAAACAAAAACATGCTCAACACTGTCAACTGGAGTGATGAGCTGACGACACGAAAGTGCGCTCCTGACCGCAATGAGAACACCACCCTGGGACAATTTATCATAGATACTAATTTATCAATTAAACAATTAAATAAAACACAGTGTCACAACAGTAGATCAAAGTCAGCAGCAACATCCCTATCCAGAAATTCCCTATAATGATAAAAAATCTGGCCTAACAAATATTTCTTAACTACAGACTTGAATCGCTGAGCTGTCAACTCTCTTACAGAGACAGGCAACTTATTATAAAAGACAGGAGCAAAATAAAGTGTTGCATTCCTTGATGTTCCTAGTCTGAGAAAATTAATCCTAATATTGTCGCGATGTCTGGTATCATGATGGTGTGTTTCACCCAGAGCCGCGAAATTATGCAAATTACGGTGCATGTACAGTAGGCAGTCATAAATGTATTGTGATGGTACTGTTAGAATATGAAAATCACGATAAAACTGTTTGGGGTCATCTCGATATCCGACATGAGCCAGAACTCTCACTGCCCTCCGCTGCAAACCAAACACTCTAGAGGCATGAGCCGAATGTCCCCAGGCTAACAGAGCATAGCAAATGACGGAATTCGAATATTCGACTATTCAAATATTCGACTATTCAAATATTCGAATATTCGACTATTCGAATATTCGACTATTCAACTATTCGAATATTCAACTATTCGAATAGGTATTCGAATATTCAACTATTCGAATAAAATACCAAACGACTATTCGAATACTTGAATTTCAAAAATTCCGAGCCCTAGTCTCTCATAGGAAAGCAACTTGACAAAATAGTTGGAGCTGACGCTGAAAGCTCAGGCAATTCAAAATTCTTCTAAACAGCTTTAGCTTTTGCAACAAAGCTAATGCCTTAATATGATGGAAAGGTCCTTTAGGAATTATTTTTACATGGTCAAGCTCAGCTGGCTCCCAAAGCCTTGATTGTCCAAATATTGAATACTAAAGAAATATTTAAGTTAAAAAGGGAAAAATAAAGCAGAACAATAACTGAGCTATTGGAATTTTCCAGAACAAAATGTATTGGCTACATATTAAAAAACAAACACTCCATTCTTGGCCATTGTCTGGCAGTGAAGATGTAAAATGGCTGATATTGATAACAGAAATATTCATTGATTTTAGCTCAAAAAAACGTGGAAAAATCAAAACCTAAACGGTTTATTAATAGACCAAGATTAGAAAAGAACCATCCACCATGATGACAAACTAAAAAACCAAAATCGAAGCCAAAAATCAAAATCACCTGCCGGCTACACTAGAAAGAAAGGGGCAACTTACTTCTGCTGATCAGCCATTTCTTGTTGGATTCACTAGCACTAAATTACTCGCTAGGGATTCTACAATGTCTTGGGAATAAATATGCACTTTTACAATTCGATTTCTTGCTAGAACAATGGAGAAAATTGGCGAGGATACTAATTTTGCCCGAGCTTCTGACGTAGCCTTTTCAGACGAAGTTGAGTTCGGCTATTTGACGGATGACGATTTCAAACAGAAATGAATCGGCACATTTTCGTGTCGGTAAAACAGAAACCTGGAATGTCATCAGTCATTAAAGTGCGGTCTTCAACTAGGCCGAGTTCAGAAATAACGCACCGGGTGCGAGTGCGAGTTTATGGGTGTGCCTGAATTGACAATTGGCCATTGGCCCCATAGCACCGTCTAGCATTTTTGAACAGCTAGGGCGTCGCACCGGTGTCACACTCACACTGGGTGTGTCATTTCTGAACTCGCCCCAGGTGTTCAGTTTTAATCGGTTATTTTAAAAAACCCAGCTGCCGGATTCTATTTTACGCATTGAGATTTTACGAGTCGAGTCGAAATTCGTAACGGATTGTCAAAATAGCGATTCTATTTTTCGATTTTCTGATACGTATACACCATAGAGAGTATACACGGTTCGTCCGGTGCTGTCGTATTCGATATCGAGTGTCATAACAGACAATTCGACTCGACTGACGACTCGTGAAATAGAACCCGGGCCCTCTAGCGTAAGTAGGGTGACTCTGAATAGGTTCGTCCATACAGAGTGGAGTAAATGAAGCTCACTCCAAGTTCCATCCTGGAGCGAACCGGAACGGAACCAGTTTTTTTTGCGCACCGGAACCGGAACGAAACCTATTATTCATAGAAATTAGGCGAGTTCGGTTAATCTTCGCATGACATGAGAGATTGAAACCAGCTGATCGGCCGGGCAAACAGAGTACTCCTAGAAATACCGAATGCGAAACGAAACGGCCTCTCTCTCTGTGGTTATGTGTTTGGGGTTATATTTGTTTGTTGTGCAAGGATGAATAGAAATACACACCATATTGGAATGTCACCATTTCCGACGTCATCACTAAGTCGTCAGCTGTTTAGTTTAAACAGCCTACGTCAAGGAGAGAAATAATTTTGGGGAATTTGTTTTACACAGACCACACAGGCCTTATGAGGATAGGCTATCCTGTAGTTTTAATGACTGCTGACATTCCAGATTGTGGGCGCATCACTTTTCTCTTTCTTACCGGTTGACCCACCGATGAGCAGTCCATCTGTATCTATCACATCACATAGGAATTCCAATGACGGATTCATAAAGCTCGAAGGAAAAAAAGCGCCTTTTATTTTGTATTGTGTGCACCGAAATTCACGCATTTTCTCGGCCGCGCCCACACAAACTATAGAACATTTTCTAAAGTTTACTGGCGAAACATTTCGTAAGTTTTTCTTGTTGTGTAAAACGGGAAAAGTTGACTCGAAATATTTCGGCAACAATTTCGTAAAGAAACTTTGCCGTATAAAACGGCTCTTATTACAAACGATTCTTGATTACAAACGATTCTTGATTACAAACTACTACAGGATTGCTCGAAGGCCTCGATTTTCGGAATCAAGTCAAGTTCATATGGTTTTGCACCGTTTTCGACGTCATCAACGGCGTCGCTAGCGGTTTGCGCCCGCGGTACTTATGATGAAAAATATTATCTAATTTCGATTTATCATAACAGGCAAAGGAAAAGATGCAAACGAGATCTGGATAAGGGTTGTTTTAGAATGTTAAATAATGTACTAAAACCAAATACGCATGAAGCAAAAATCAGCGTAATCACGTGTACCCGACGACACGCTGTCTACGTCATCACTGGTACTTTGACGTGTGGAGGCTTAAGATTCTTATTTATTATAATAATAATAATAATAATATTTGATATTTATTTTATTTAAAAGTCCATTCGAATGGCAATAAAACCCGACAGTTTGTATTTTTCAACCTTTCCGTGTGTCATAAGGTTCGTTCCAACCCAGCCAAAAACCGTTCAATGTACGGTCACGGTCATGCGCCATAGGTTAAACGCGTTCCAACGGAGAGACGATCGTTTACCGTACAGTTTCGTTGGCGTTCCAACTAAACCTGGGATCGTTCGAGAACTGGTTTTAGCACCGTCATTTCGATCCCGAGTGGAAAGCAAGAACCGCGTGGACTGATCGATGACTGACATGCGTAATTCAATTTTTGTCACTTCTCGTTGTTGTTCATGTTCTTAAAGAACCAATTTCCAATCTCACCTATAAAACTGTAGCATTTTTATTTTTTCAAGTGAAAAAAGGACAAAATTTATTATCAGCTATTTGCTGGTCCTTGATGTTATCAGCTTGTAAGGATTCAGTTTCAGATTCTTGATAATGAATCAGCGTTGGTGTTCGATTTTCCTTTTTTATATATTATTTTGTAATTACGAAAACGATCATGAAACCGTTCCAACTACCCGTTGTTTCTGTACCAAGATAAAACCACAGATAAAACCTTGCAAGGTCAACGCATGCGCCTGCAATCGATCCTAACAGTTCCGAAACGGTTGACCATACGAAAACGGGGGGTTGGAACGATACTGCCATTACTGCCATTAGTAAACCTCATGAGAATATGCATATGCATATCATTATTCATTAATGACGCACGGGCAAATTAAGAAATACAAACACAAACATTTTTTATTATTGGGTAAAGTTGTTGCGGATAGGCAGAGAAATCCAATAAAAAATAAACCACAAATTACAGAAACATAAATTGTTCTGAATTTGTAAGAATCTATACCGGTATGAAACGTTAAAACCGAAATTATTGTTCGGAACCGAATCGAAATATTTCTCTTAGAACCGGAACCGTAACGGAATCGGAATGGAACCGATATTTCATTTCGGTATGGGTCCCTGCTTTTTAGTAGGAGCAAATACGTTTTTTTGAAGTTCCGGCCTCGCCTTGTGACTCTTAGGACGTTGCTGAGGAGTTTCTAATATTTTTAAATATTTAATTTGGTTTATGTTTTTATATTTAATGAAATAGTAATTGAGGAACTGGTAAGCATGCTCTGACTTCACTCCAATCCTCGTTGAATAGCTGACCCCAGTGGAGAGTGGAGCTTTTGGAGTGAGCTCTTTCCAGTCTGTAGTCATTTCCAAACGAATATGAAGCAGAGGCGGTAGAAGCAGAAAAAATTTTGGCGCCCTTCGTCCTTGCCAAGGAAGATGGACAAAATCACAGATTACAAAATAGTTCCAACGGCGAAATTTATTGGAACTATCCGTATTTGAGTGATTTCACGTATTAAAAAAAAGGCTTTTCTAATCGAAAAACTAAAAACCACAAAAAATGAGTTAGTTAAAGTTCACCAAATTGTCGAAATATACAGGGTGTCCCACGAGGTTTTACCCAGGTGATAACTTCGGAACGCGTCATCGAATGTTCCAAGGGGGAAGTCTGCTCCTTCGGCCGTAAAAAATATGGTATTGCCGGTTTCGTAATTTAATTTATGTAGAAGCGGCGCAAAAATTTACCCAGGTCCTTAAAAATTACAAAAAATGACGCGTTCCGAAGTTATCACCTGGGTAAAACGTCTTCGTGGGAAACCCTGTATATTTATATATACCTTTCAAAATGGGTTAAAGAAATAATAAGTTTTTGAAATTTTTGGCGCCCCTAAAATTTGGCGCTGGAAGCGTCTGCTTCTTCTGCTTCATAGGAAATCCGCCTCTGATATGGAGTCTTTCAACTCAAAATAGTTGCCCGAACATCTCGGACGTATTCTAGTCCACGTGGCGTTCAAAAAACGGTCATCAAGAAACAGTACGATAATGTCGAATCGATTTTCCAGCGGGTCGACAGTAGTCGACACAGCTTCCTCATATCTATCCTTGCATTCGGTATTTTGCTCAAAGAGCAGAGCGTGCTGAAGCGGACAGTAATCACGTGAACACCGAGCGCACAGAGCAGTTAAACGCTGTATCAGAGCGATTAGGAGGCGAATGACGAGAAAAAGGCGTATAAATGCGAAAAATTTTTGAAACCCAGACAGAATTTCTATTTTGGGTTTTGGAAGGATCTCCTGTTACACCGTGCGTTCGTTATTTTGGTCTGAGTTCTCCGAGCTTGACTTTACCGTTCGTTTATTTAAAAAGTGTACTCGGTGCAGCCTCATTCGCGTTCTTTATTAACATTTTCGGTACTTTTATACAGCGTTCAACTGCTCCGTTCGCTCGCTGGTCACGTGCTTACGGCTCCGCTCAGCTCGCTCTACACTTTGAGCAAAATACCGAACGCAAGGACAGTATCATCAGACAGAACTCTCGAAATTTTAATAAACGGAAAACGGACGCGAATGAGCCTGCACCGAGCACACTTTTTAAATAAACGAACGGTAAATTCAAGCTCGGAGAACTGAGGGCCCGGATTCAGAACTCACGATTCCAGAGTGGTTCCGAAACCGTTCTGGGACGGTTTTTTGGCGGGTTGGAACAAACTTTTTTATCAGATAAAGTCTGTTTTTTTCTTAAAGATAATTCCCCAAGTCAAAAATTTAGTAACTATGTTGGCAACACAAGCCTTTTCTACATAAAAAAATTGAAAGCATTGACAATTTTACATTGTATTGCCGACATAATGTCATTTTGACTTTCATCTTAAAAAAAAAAACATAGTTTACATCGCCTATCTATTTTATATGGATGATACTATCGAATCGTGGGTTCGGAATCCGGGCCCGGATCATAATAGTCCTTTTACACCTAAAGTCTGTTTTTTTTTAAAGATGAAACTCAAAATGACATTATGTTGGCAATGCAATGTGAAATTGTCAATGCTTTCAAATTTTTAAATGTATAAAAGGCTTGTGTTGCCAACAGTTTACTATTTTTGACTTGGGGAATTATCTTTAAAAAAAAAACAGACTTTAGGCGGAGCTCCGGAACAGCTTCAATGCGTTACGCGCTTATTCCTTTCGAAAAGTGTTTCTTGTTGTTGTTGCACCATGCATCTGTTCCTTGCAAATCGGGGGCGACTAACACCGGAGCGAGTAGCTCGAGTGTTTTAAACTCTTGGAAGGAATACAACTACTACCGAACGCAGCCAGGGTTCTCAACTATCGCCGACTCTCTGACGTTCCGTCAAAGTCAGATTGAAAATTTGACTTATCTGTGTTTACATTTTTCATAACAAAAAAATTTTGGCTTTAAAAATCCAAATAATGTTCACTCTGATTTCCAGATTAAAGTGTTGAAATTTGAATTTGTGGACCATAATTATCTAGTAGATTAAGAAGCTACACAATGGCAGGCATCAAATGTAAGTTTTGTTAAAAAATCAATTTTTCATTTCTCTTGTACTCAATGATGAATCATCTTTGAATTTTTAATTCCTTGCTAGTTACAGTAACAATTTTTTTAGGGCACCTCTTTACATTCACATGTTCTAGGGTTGAATGCGAGGTTGAATGAATGTTATAGCTAAATTTTCATAATAAAATGACAACAATTTTTACCCTACTTTACCTATTCTTTTATCATATTACCCCACAAATTGTAGAAACAGAAATCAAAAATCGGCGCTACGCAGTTCTATTGTCCATACTTATCAAAGCAAAACTAACTATTTTACATAATATTTCACAGGGCTTGCAACGCAACTATTCAATAAAGTTTTGCACTGCACTGTCCAGATCACCCACTGTCTGGAGAGTGCAGTACTCACTCCCTAAAGCTTTTTGGGTTTCCATTAGACAATGAAAAGTTGAGATCAGCCAAAATGAATTGCAAAAACAAACTTCTCAGGTCATAACAGTATAAATTAAGATTTTTCAGGTTCCTACCAATTACAGATCGAAGTAGCAACATTATCTACACCAAATAAGCTGAGTAGTAGTCAAAAAATTTGTTATCACTAAGCTACAATTTGAGTTTATAATCAAATAAGTTGTTGTATTCATTTATTTAGCTATGATAACAATTTTACAGACTGGATATAGGGAATGTTTAGAAGATGCTTTTCAATGGCTGGAAAAGTGGGGTTGGATATCAACTTGCAAGAGAAAAGTATAAAACTCTCCGCATTCACTTGCTGTCTGGCAATTGAGTCTAAACAGTCCCTATCTCAGGGCCTATTACATATCATATAAGTTATCTCAACATTATCTACACTCTACCTATATGTTTAAAAAATCAATTATGTGAAAAAAACTCAAAAAAAAAACAATCCAACAAGTAATTTAATTTGTCTTATCTCTAATATACATATTAAAATCGCCTTCAATTGAAACCCTCTTTTCTAAACCAACATCTTTAAACTTGTCTTCAAACATCTAAAAACATTTCTTTATTTCTTGAACCACCACACGGAGGTCAATATAATACAATGAAACAATCATAAATTGTTTTTTGGTTATTTTCAAGGTTATTTTCTTAAATTCTGCCACATTTATGCAAATTTTAATATGAATTATTGTACCACCTACCACCTGTATGTTGATTATCGCTTTTGACTCTTAAGAGTGTTGTACCCTATTAGGAATCTCTGCATTCAGTATATGTTCTGTCACCATAGTTTCAGTTAAACTAGGGTGACCATACATACAGCATTTCGCTGTATTGTACAGCATTTTCAAAGTCTGTCCAGCATTTGATTTTGTACAGCAAACGTACAGCGATTCCGATTCGAGATCCGATCATAATTAGGTTTTTCTTTAAAATAGGGTACTTGCATGGAAAATTAAATTGATTATTGTTTATTGCAAACTGTAGGAAATCGAAAAAAAATAGTTACTTTTTTTTTAATTTCACCCAAATATGATTATTCCGGATGTTATACAAATATTAAGATTTTTATATATAGATATACTGAGCATGATGTGCGACGTCACAACTCACAACGTATTATACCTAAGTTATGACGTCGGAAGGACATTTCAAAGCGTTGTATCTCCGTCAATTTTGGACTAACAAGAAAAAGAAAAAACACGTGTTGACTTATTTTTCATGGACTATCGAAATCAGCAATAAAAAAATTTGATGCAAGGGGCCTTTCCTGCGTTTTTATTCTCATCAAATTTTACCGATATCCACCATTCTATGTCGGTCATTGTCATTTTCCATTCACTAAACAAAGATAGCTAACTCATCGGTAAATCCACCGATGAGAATAAAAACGCACATATTTCCACATTTGCGATTTACGTCATTTACGCCATTATCTCCCAGAGTATTCTTTTTAATGCTAATTACCTTTGCAGCATAATAGGTCTGTTTTGCAGCAATCACAAAACAGTCAACGCGAACTTCATTGGTTGAAAATCATTTGAAAATAGTCAGAAACAGTCAGAAAACTAGTTTCAACCCAAGGTTCCTTTTTAGACCCGTTTCTGCAAAAATCAAAAATCAGTCAGAGTGAATTTCATTGGTTGAAAATAGTTTTCTGACTGTTTTCAACCAATGAAATTCGCTCTGACTGGTTTGTGATTTCTGCAAAAACAGACCTAAAGTTAATAGGTTGTCTGGTAATGGTAAACAGATGACGTCATCGGGAAGATCTAATGGAGATTTGTATTATGTTTAGGCATCCAGATGAAGTCATACTACCTCTTTCAAACAAGCTTGGTTTCAACCATTAAGGTTTTCAACCAATGAAGTTCACTCTGACTGGTTCGTGATTTCTGTGCGAACAGACCTATTATGTTATGTATTTCTTTTTTTTTTAAACCTTAAGTGAATGGGCTGTAAAGTTGACAAAATTTGCATTTAGTGCTTTCTCCACTCACCTGTTCCAAAATTTAAGATGTGTACAGCATTCATACAAAAAAAATATGGTCACCCTAAGTTAAACAAACTAAAAGAGGGACTTTTTCTAATGCTAACTTACAGATTTCTTCGTAATTAGCTTATTAATTCTTGTCCATAGTTTCCATAGGGCTTCCACATCAGTGTTTGTCACTCACTAACGGGAAAGCTCTGATTAATAGTTGACCAATTAGAGTCGCCATCTGAATTCTACCATTTCTGTTTGGGAGGAGTTTAGAGAAATATTGTTCTTTATCTTATGTGGAAGATATTTCCAGAACACCAGTGACGCACCCAGGCCGCCCCACCAAAACTGTATTTTTACGTTTAAAAAATGTAGCAACATCAAGGCGTGGCCCCTGACCTGATTTTCAGTCACAAGCCACAACCTATGTAGGCCCCCCCCCCAAACATATTTTCTGGGTGCGCCACTGCAGAACACCAATTTTATACCTTTCATAACCTATCTCATATTCAATTAGGCAATCCAACGACCTGTCCAAATGGCGTCTGGTTGGCAAACAATAAACAAAAAACATATGTTTTTTTTGGCAGGATTAAGCCTAGTAGCCATAACAGCGAAATTCGCTCTTTTTTGACATTGCTTCGACAATTTGACGTTTTATGCGTGAATCAAACGTCAAATTGTCGCAGCAATGTCAAAAAAAGAGCGAATTTCGCAATTATGAGTACAAGGCTTTATCAATACACGGGGCGAGTACTCAAATCTGACACCGTTGACATGTAGCAACCCGTATTCTAACCTCACAAAAAATTCAAAATGCCGGCTGGTTGGCAAAAGTCACGTGGTTTGGATTCCCTAATAGACAGAATAGACTTCTTGCACCCAATCGAAATTAGGTAGGTATATAATTTATGTGTAACGAAAGTGTATTTTATATACTACATAACAGTATGGTTGGTTAATTTTTTTTTTTAAATCTTGAAGGCAGAAATCTCGGCAGAAATTAAAAGAAAAAAAAGCAGATTATTTGAATTCTGTGCCATATTTTTGCACAATCAAAAATCCCTGTTTGCCAAATTTTCATGTTCCAAACGAATCTTTTTCTTTTCTTTTTTAACACATTGAATATACATATAAATATGGAAATCGCTTTGTGGATCAACTTTGGTACAGCCCTACTTTTGACATGAAAAATAAAAGGAGACTTAATGAAGTTTCCACAAATTTGTTTTTTTGTCTAATACGAATTAAACAAAGAAAGTATTAATCCGGCAAAGTATAAAGTACGAAAACGATAAAAGGGATTTTAATTTGTCATGATGATTTTTGTTTACAATTAGGTCAGTGACCTCTGGCCAATTTACCAAACAAAATAATCAATAATTAACAACAAAATACAGTCCCTGACACTGGGGGACTATTCAAAATAAACCAATAAACGGTTCCGAATCCGGAGTAAACTTTGTCTGGAGTCACCCTGTGTGTAGTTTGAAGAAAATGGAAAAAGGATGGATGTTTTTGCCTGTGAAAATGTAAAGAGCTAGGAGGCCGGTGTTACTCAACTACTTTAATTCTTAATGTCTAATTCTTATTTCTTAGTGCTTAATTCATAACAAGTTAACAGCGTGTTATTAAATGATGGCGTTATCGGTTTATCCAATTCCTATATCATAATTTTTTTGGTGCCAAAAAACCTGGAAAAAAAACAGCTTCATTTTCCAACTCCATGTTACTACTCCTACTCTTTTACCTTTACCTGCTCTAAGGACTTCATTCATAGTCTTGTGATTTTGTGTTGGTTGAAAACAAAACCATATTGGAATAAAAAACCCCTATATTCTATTAAAATAAAAAACCCAGGAATACTGAAGATCAATCTTGTCCTAGTCTTATATATTTGGTGGCCGAAAAAAAATTAAGTAACTGGGTAACAGGACCAAATCGATAGCTAATATTTTACGAAATAAGAATAGAAATTAGGAATTAAGTAGTTGGGTAACACTGGTCTTAGTCTTAGAAAAACTGGTATCGAATAAGTACAGACACATAAAAATTACTCCTGTTTTATTTCCCATAATCCACTTAGAAGAAAAATAACAATAATTTTAATAGGTAATTATATACCTATTTCAGTGCCGAAATTAAAAATGTAAAATTAAAACTCACAACACAACACTAGGTATTAGCATTGTGTATTAGTAAAATCATTTTAAAATGCAGGTAGAGCAACCTTTGTGTGCCTTCGTGCCTTCTGCCTGTTTTGGAGTTTTAGACAGGCTGCTTCGGCTGCTAATAAATAAAAATGAATATTGATTATGATAAGGCATTCCCACGATCTGTCAAAAATTACATGAAATTAATGACATCTGGGCAACACTGGATAAAATTGACCAATCAGAAATTTGATTAATTTGAACTTCAAATCGAAATTTAGAGCCTTTGCAAGTCCGAAAAAAATCGGAAAAAATACAGTTGAGCTTAATTTTGACTCCTCTTTCCAATAAGCAAATAAAAAAAAATCATGCAAGAAACCTATTGCCTTATTATTTCTATGTATTTTCTTCTCAAATTGCTCGTGGGTTGGTCTCACTGGAACAATACACAAGATGACGTTGGTATGTTTTGTTTCTGTTATTAGCTTTAAAACATCGTCAAACTGAGTAACACCATTGTCACCATTATCGGATCGGACAACCTGTAGCCATAGTTAGCTATCAGTAAGCATAAGTACTTTATTTTGAAGAGATGATTGACACTGTGGACCTCTCCTCTTCAATGTGTTGCTGCGCTATCTCCCCAATAAGGATTTACAGGGTTGTTGCTCCCCAAGTCACTAATTAATTTCAATGCATCATGGATTTCCCCGTCCAGATTTGTATTCCAGATTTGTACTTGCCTTGGCTTTCCTACAATTGCCTTCAAACCAGCCTTTATGTTCTCGCATTTACACTCTTCCAGTTTTGCTAGGAACCACAGAAACTATTAAGTTTAAGTATTCAGAGTCTACCATTTCTAATTCCTCAATTGACGTTCAAATTCTTTAACTTCACTATTTCCGCTTCAAATTCTTGCTTCATTTTTGTATTTTTTTTTGTCCAAAAACTATCGTGTCATCATTTATTACTTTAATACTGTCATTTCTATTTTTTATCCCTTTGAGAGGTTTTTGCATTTATTCTAATCACGAAAATTTCTGAATTCTGGTGGCTGGTACCTCGGTTGGTATATAATAAATTCACCATTTTGCTTTTACTCCCTTTCACTCCAAATATATAGTCTGGCTAGCGGAACGGCGAACTGCAATAGAATTTGCTGCTTTGCCAAACTTGACGGAAACAATAATAAACAAGTTGTGCCATATTTTTTTTTGCTATATGGGTATGTGTAGTACTTTGAAAAAAGTTCGAAATAGAAAAAAATCCGGCAACATTGCAAAATGATAGACGTGGACAGGCGTGATTATTCAGAGGCATGATTCTATTGGTTAGAGCCTGAACGACAGCGAGCAGTGGCGTGGATATTAGCGAAATTAGAATTTTTTTTTTCTAATAATTTTATTGGTTTTTTTCCTTGATGTTTTCGGTGCCACTGAACCCAAAGACATGGCTGTCATCAGGCGGTATCAGTCGGGGTGTCAGTGAATATGTTTAGGTTACGCCCCATTTTTCTTCCCCGTTTCGTCTCTACCAAGTTACCACTAGCCAGACTATAGTTGTTATATTATTTATAGTGTTTGCTCCTAAACTGGCAATTTGCCATAACATTTAATAACATCCAGAAATCTTAAGGATTTTGTGATAATTTTCTCCAACATCCATTCTACCTTAACTTGGAAGCTGACAAGCAGTATGGAGCCATAGATTGCTGTGAGCATCTCACTGAAACCAAAAATATTTTGATGATTTCTGCAAAAAAAACAATAGCATTTGCTGCCGAAAGATTAAACAAATCCATTTTGCGATTCCAGTATCTTAAAAATAATTCCTCCATCCACCACAAAATTTAATCCAGCTACCAAGTTTACAAGTTTACTTATTTGACATTACAGGACTGGAGTCTTTCTCATACTTTTTTTGCATTAGTATTAAATCGCAAAGTTGAGGATGTGGTCACAGCCACCAGGCAGAGAGCACAATTTTGATACTATCCAAATTATTAGCCATTGGACTTCTTATTGTTTCTGTGTGGGCCTGAAACTTGGAAAATTATGTCAGTTTTCTAAACCCTAGAATTAATATGTAGTAGTACTAGTAGTAGGTATACCTAATTAAAATGTTTTAAAATGTTTGTTTAATTTATTCATTTTTTGTTCTTTTTCATGCTGTTCCTTCTTCAACAATGGATACATTTTATAGCGTAAGTGAAAAATTATTTTTGGATAAATTCAATTACAAATACAAACTTATTTTTTTTTTAGATTGGTATCTTTGGCTTTCGCAGGATCAGTTGGGATGACCTTTTTGATCCTGGCTTGTGCACTACCTCAATTCGCGTAAGTATATTTTAAGGACGCTTTTTGCTCTTAATCGACTACTATCACTAGGGATAGAAAATTGGATCAGTAGCCTACCATCAAAATATTGAAATTGCATGTCCATCTTTGAACTCTATCTACGAACTTTCGCGAATTTTCATTTCTTGTGTCTAATTTGTGTAGCTTTGTAGTGGGTGCCAAAAAAATTGTTTCCAACAATCAAAATCACTCTGACTTTAACTTTGTTCCAAAAACTTGTTTGTAGAATGCAAAATTCGTATAAAGATTGGTTTCAAAACTATTCTTGGGACAGTTTTTGACACTAATAATTTCTATAGAAATAAGTGAAAATATTTTAACTTTTTCTAGTCTTTGGTGGCCTTTTTTTGAAGTCCTGTTCTACATGCTAGCTCCAATACCAACCCTGATGGCACGAAGATACTCTGACCACTCAGGATCGAGCAATTCCTGTCTGGAAACGGCAATATTCATCACCATGGGCATTTTAGTATGTTCGTTTGCTCTACCCATAGTACTAGCGCGCGGTGGTATTATTTTATGGGGCGCTTGTTGGCTAACATTGACAGGCAACTTTATAGTTTACGGTACTTTAATTGGATTCTTTTTGGCTTTCGAAGCTGACGATTCTGACTATAACATGTGGTAATTTGAGTGTATTTTTTTATGTGTACAATATACCTTATGAGAAATTGCAATGAAATTTGGTTTGTAAACGTCTTTTTCATAATAAAATGAGAGTAACAGGTATTGCTTTGGGTTTGAATTAATATTAAATGTGCAAATAATTATAAAATAATTAGGGTTTTTTTCATATACCTACTTAAAACACAAATATACAATGGTGATTTTTGTTTACATAGAATAAGTATTGCACTTTTTTGTATACAATTTGAATTATTTCTAATTTATTAGTTGATAGAGTTTAATTTCTATTTTTTTTGTTAGATCCCTAGATGTTTATAGTAGTTATTATTATTAAAAAGCATTTTTAATGAATATATTTTTATGACTGACTATTTTTTGGACGCTTTATTTTTAATGAATAAATGCATTTGGACAAATTAATAATTTGTATGAATATTGTTACTAAGACAATACGATTTATACTATACCTAATGTATTGTCACAACTACCCGCTGTACGGGGGTGACATGGGGGGTTTGTTGCTTTGGGGGTTGATGGAGAGAAACTCGCTCAGGTTATATAAAAATATATGCTATATATTTTCCCAAATATAACCTTACATGTATGCTAATCCTATAAGATACGTGACCCTTCGAACACTGGGGTCCTTATAGGGAGCCACACGTCAATGCTGCTTGGAGGACTGTAGATTAGTTTATCGTCACCCTTATGCCTTGTCCAGAGGGGCGTTCCCAACGAGAGGTAATTGCACTGGACAACGATAAGGCTGAAGATACCCAGAGGGGCGTTCCCAACGAGAGGTACTTGCACTGGGGAGACTTAATTCCAGAGGGGCTTTTCCATCGAGAGGTACTTGCACTGGTTTAAGTCTGCCTTTGCTGCGGCTTGCAGCGCAATTTATATTAATTTATTGCTGAATTGCAATAAACATTCGATCGAATCGGCAATTAAATTAATAAGGTTGAATACCGGGTCCTCCTTTCCTAAGCAGCTGGTTGACATATGCCCCCCCTCCATGAAGCATTGGACCCCAATGCTTGGAAGAGACACTTACAACCAAATATATACAAATACCATAATAATGTCAAAAAAATACAATAATATCCTTATCCTAAAAATATCCCTTCTTTACAATAATAGCCTAATTATAAAATACCCCTGATGCTTACAATTATATAATCCAAATATCGCGTATAGAGAGAAAAAAATAAAAATAAAAATTAACAAAAGTTTTTTATGGTGGGATGGGTGAGGGTGCATTATTATTCAGGTTACTACAAAAAAAAAAAAAAATATCTTACAACTAAGAATTTTCATCAACTTCACCGTTTCAGCCATGGGTTTTTCCTCGGGTTTTTCTCTTTTGGTCCGGTCCTGTTTTCTGTGTTGTGGGTCTGTTCTGGTTCCAAATACTTCTTGGTAGGTCAGCTAGATCGTGGGGTGATATCGATCCCACGGTCTAAGTGTCGCTTCCTGGTTTGTTATGCTTCTTTCTTGTTCATTGTGCTGTATTCTGTCTTTCAAGTGGATTGGTTCTGGCTCCAAGTACTTCCTGATGATTTGGTCATCTGGGTCGTGGGTTTGCGCGGTCCCACGGCCCAAGTAATCCTTGATCATCTCTTTTGTGAGTGTGGTGGAAATGGTACTGTGGTCTGTCTACTTTTGGTCCATATCCATTTGTTTCTTCTGGTTTGAAGTTCCTAGCCCCTGCTCAGTCCAGAGCTAGGTCCTTCTATTACAATGCCTTCCCTCGAATTTGTTTTGTAGTCCGTCCCTGGTTGGTGGTTTTGTATATACATGCAAAAAATAAAATAATATTTAAAAAAATGTGCTTATTCCTATAATTACAATTACATAGTTTAATGATGACCCTCATTCGGGCCACCAAATTTCATCATTTGGTTATTTGTTGATCCTGGCTTCAACAGGTAAGTTTAGTCCAACTTGTTTTTTGTATACCCATATGCCTTCTTTTTGCAGCTCGTACTTTTCTAAAATCCCTTCGGCGGCTTCTTCCGTCGATAAGAATGTTTCTGATTCTTCTTCTTTCATGGTAATTCATATTCTCTATCTTCCCCTAGAATTATGAGGTCATCCACTAGTTTCCTCTTATATTGAGCTGTCATTTCTCTCCATCCCTCCTTGTTTACTCTATTTAATCTCTTACTCTATTTTTTCATCCTATCTCTACTTCCTATTTCCCTACTTCATAATTTTGCTTATGTGTTATCTGTATAATCAGTCTTCTTCTTCCTCGTTTTCTGCTTCACTGCTTCCAATTTCTTTTTCAATTTTTTCTTCGTCTTCTTCATTCTCATCAACTTCAGATTCTGCGTTTTCAGCTATATCTGTCTCATCTGCCCTTTCTTCAATAGGCGCAGCTTCTGTCCATGGATCGTAGTAGGGCAACATCCTACTCACGTGGACCGTATCCTTTTTTCTGCTTCCAATCTTTTGTACCTCGTAATTCACTTCTCCCATTTTTCTAATTACTTTGTATGGTCCAAACCATCTTAAGAGTAACTTTTCGCTTCTTCCAACCTTTCTAATTGGTATGAAAACCTTAACTTTTTCTCCAACTACGAAATCTAATTCTCTATGTCGTTCGTCAAAACGTCCCTTATCTTTTCCTTGTCTTTTTTGTATATTTTCTACTGCTATGGCTCTTATTAAGAGTGCCTTTTCTCTAATTTGCAGAGTGTCCGTTTCGTTGTCAGCGTCCAACAATGCAGCTTCTGCTGGTAGTGTGGGTTCCCTTGCATATGTTAACATAAATGGGCTAAATCTCGTTGTGTCCTGTATTGCTGTATTATACGCAAATGTTATAAATGGTAGATAGCTACACCAGTCCGTTTGCTGTGTGTTACAATACATCGATAACATGTCAGCTATTGTCTTGTCTTATTTAGCCTTTCAGTGAGACCATTACAACAAGGATGGTATGCGGTTGTAAATTGGCTTCTTACTCCCATTAATTTTCCTAATTCCCTTACTAATTCCGATTGAAAAACTTTTCCTCTGTCGCTGAGCAGATTTCTTGGCATCCCGTGTATTAAGAATACTTTTTCTAGTAAAAAATTTGCAACTGGTCCGGCTTTTCCATTCGGTAGGGCGGCTGTGATGGCATATCGTGAGGCGTAATCGGTAACTACAACTATCATTGTTTTCCCTTTACTGCTTCTTCTAAATGGGCCTAAAAGATCAATTCCGATTTTGTCGAAAATTGTTCCCACCGGTATTGGTTGTAACATCCCTGGCGTTTTTCTGTAAGGTTGCCCCTTTCTAGCTTGACAATCTGGGCATCCCTTAACGTACTTTTCGATGTCCTTGAGCATTCCATCCCAAAAAAATCTGTTTTTAATTTTGTCCGTTGTTTTGCTCAGTCCCAAGTGTCCACTTGTCGGTGATGCATGTAGCTCCCACAAAATTTCTTCTCTCATTGATTTTGGTACTACTAATACTTTTTCTAAGCCGTTTTTTGTCTTATTAATTTTATAGAGTAAGTCTTTCTCAATCCTAAAATTTTTTGCTCTTCTTCTGATGCCAATATTGATTTCTGGGTCGGCTGGGTTTCTTATAGCTTTGAATATTTGTTTTAGACTTGGGTCTTTCTCCTGTAATGTAGCCGTTTGCATTGATTTTAGTGTGAATGTGGGGAGCTCCTCTTGTTCTTCTTTTTCCTCGAATTCTGGTTGAAGCACTGGATTGCGGGACATACAGTCGGCGTCGCTATGTGTTGATCCTTTTTTATATACAACCGTGTAATCAAATTCTGCAAGTTTTAGTGCCCACCGGGCCAAGCGTCTGTTACTTTCCTTAATGGAGTCCATCCAGCAAAGAGCATGATGGTCAGTGACAATTTTTACTGGTCTGCCGTAAATTAAGTGTCTCAGATAGCTCAATGCCCACACTACGCCTAAGAGTTCTAATTCACTAATTGAATAGTTCTTCTCGCTATTTGAAAGACTCCTGCTTATGTAGGCTATTGGATGTGCTTCTCCCTTGTCGTCTTCTTGTAAAAGTACTGCCCCAATTCCACATGTTGCTGCGTCGGTGTGCAAAATGGTACCTTTATTTGGATTGAAATGCTGTAGCACAGGTGCGGAAACCAGTTTTTCTTTAAGAATGTTAAATGCTTTGTTTTGTTCAGAACCCCATTTGAACCCTATGTTCTTTCTTGTTACTTCATGTAGCGGTCTTGCTATTGCTGCAAAGTTATGTATAAATTTTCTATAAAAATTACATAATCCTAGAAAGCTCTGTACATCTTTAATTTTCTTTGGCGTCGGGAACCCTTTTATGCAAATTATTTTTTCTTCATCTGGTAATATGCCTTGTTCCTTTACTTTGAATCCTAGTATTTTGATTTCTTTTTTCAAATATTCGCATTTGCTTGGTTTTAGAGTAAGATTAGCTTGTCGCAATCGCTCAAAAACTTTCTTTAGTTTGCTCAAGTGTTCTTCGAATGTTTGTGAGAATATAATGATGTCGTCTAGGTAGATTAGCACTTCCTTCCATTTCATATCCCAAAAAACTTGGTCTGCTAGTTCTTGGAAAGTGGCTGGAGCGTTGCATAATCCAAAACTTAAAACATTAAATTCGTAAGTCCCATGTCCTTGCGCCACGAAGGCAGTGTATTGCTTGGACTTCTCTTCGACTGGAACTTGCCAATATCCGGAAAACATATCGAGTGTGCTAAACCATTTTGCATTGCCCAAGTATGACAAAATGTCATCGATCTGTGGTAGTGGGTATGTTGATTTTTTTGTTACTGTGTTCACCTTTCTGTAATCTACACAAAATCTTGTTTTTCCATCTTTTTTCTTAACTAGCACTACAGGGCTAGCCCATGGAGAGTGGCAAGGCCGAATTACTTTACTATCGAGCATTTCCTGGATTTGTTCGTCAATAATCTGTCTTTCTTTTTGTGATACTCTGTATGGGCGGCTCTTTATTGGGCGAGCCTCTCCGACGTCTATTATGTGTTCTGTTAAGTTTGTCTTTCCCATATGTTTTGTGGATTTCGCGAAAACGTCGTTGTATTCCAGAAGGAGTTCTTTGAGTTCATGCCTGTTCTTCTTGTTTGTGATGCTGTCTAACTTATGATCTTCCATTGTTATTTCTTCGCTCTCTCGTTTTAGTTGGCTGTTTTGTTGTGACCAGACCTGACATGTTGATTTTTTCATTATTCATTTGTCTTAGAGGTATTTCATACTGACCATTCAGAATCAGTTTTTCCCTT